AAATCGAATCCCATCACTTTGGGAGGCCAAGGTGGGTGGATCACCTGAGATCAGGAGTTTGGGACCAGCCTGACCAAACATGGTGAAACCCTGTCTCTACTAAAAATACAAAATTAGCCAGGTATGATGGCACGCACCTGTAATCCCAGCTACTCGGGGGGCTGAGGCAGGAAAAGTGCTTGAACCTGGGAGACGGAGGTTACAGTGAGCCGAGATCATGGCATTGCACTCTAGCCTGGGTGACAAGAGTGAAAAAGAGAAAAAAGAAAAAGAAAAAGAAAATGTTCATGTCACAGACACATCGTGCTGTATACTCTGGGAATCAGCTTTCAATATTTCCTTACAGTATGATTTCTGGGCCTTTGTCTAGCTTTACTTCTATTTTAGCTTAATTCCTTTATTCTATTTTAGTTTAGCTAGAAGGATTAAAATATCCTTCATGTACCAATCAAAGTACACAGCCACCAGTTCAGGTGTTTTCATTTATTTCTAAATGTGGAGCTTCTACAGTTTCATTAGAGATACATGTTTGAATGGGGGTCCCTGTGAGCCGTAAAGTGATCACAAGACAGCTCTGGAATTGGACAGAGCGGAAAACCTGGGGTTAGACAAGCCAGGGTTGAATCCTGGCTCTTCCACTTTCTAGCTGGTGATGCTGGGTGCACTACTTCAGCTCTCTGAGCCTCAGTTTCCTCATCTGTAAAACGGGAGTACACCTACCTCAAAGAGTTGTTGGGAAGTACCATGAGGCAGGTGGTGCAGTTCCTGAGTGTTCTTCTCATCAAGCATGTATTACTAACCTAGTGTGCCAGATGCTCTGCTAGGGGCTGAGAATGGAGTGCTGGAGAAGCCACAGCCCCCATCTATCAGAACACAGGCACATACCAGGGCGCATAAGTGGGAGCGGCATTTGCGGCGCAAGTGCATCACAACTCCTGGGCACCTGCAGAACACGCGTGGGTTTGGGGAAGAACAGCTGGGTCACTTGCCAGGATTTGCTCACTGCTGCGCTCTGCACTGCCAGCCTCCTGGCAAGCTTATTTCGCCATCAGCCAGATGAAAGCCAGCAGGCAGAGGAGCAGCGGCTGGTGCGTGGCGACCCGAAGTCCCGCGCCCCTCTCTAACCAAAACTCACAGTGCTTGAGGGAGCAGAGCTCCTGGACCAGCCGCCAAAGCACCCGCTGGTGGAGCTTGTTGTCTGGCTTCTGGAACTCCGCTTGGTTTGCCGCCTGGGTGGCGTTGATGCAGCCGGCGACAAACACCTCCTTGGTCACGTTGGTCTCGGAGCAGCCGTCGTAGTGGATGCCATCGGGTAACTGCCAGTAGTTGGCCTCGTAGTACCTGTTGCCCTCGGCTCCGAAGTCGATGTCAAGCTTTCGGCCTTGCTTGATGAAGGTTCCCGGGCGGTTCTCAGCCACCTGGGCCTCTGTGATCTGGGCAGTGCTGGGCAGGGCCTTCCGGTTCCACTTGATTCTGTGCTTGGTGCCCCTCGCCTGGACTGCGGAGAGGTGGCTGAAGAGCAGCATGCAGACAGTGGCCAGCCACCACCCGCTCAGGTGCTTCCTCATTGCGGCAGAACCTGTGAGAGAAACAACTGTGGTCAGCTCCCCACCAGTGTCCCCTCCCCCGGGCTCCCTTGCCCCTCTCCTGAGTGCAGGAGATTTTAAGGAAGGAATTGCATTCTTGCGCTATGTATGTGGTCTCAAAAGCACAATCGTTCCCCCACGTTTGGGTTGTGCAGGGTTAACTCAAGCTTTTTTGTTACTGCTAAGATTACATCCACTCAGGGCCCTGGTCCAGTTTTCCTAGACAGATAAGAACTGCAAAGGGCAATCACAGAGGCTTTGAACATGCATGGGAAAATAAAGGAGTGGTGACTTCATACATGTAGGTTTTCTTTGATACTCCCGAGTCTTTCAGATCAAGAAATCCCTGGGAGGAAAATACAATAGAAGAGCTGGAATCAAATGATTGTGTGGACTCTCTCTCTCTCTAAATACATATATATATGTGCACATATATGTGTGTGTGTGTGTGTGTGTGTGTGTGTATGAGACAGGGTCTCACTCTGTTGCCCAGGCTGGAGTGCAGTGGCATGATCATAGCTCACTGCAGCCCTGAACCCCCGGGCTCAAGCAATCCTCCTGCCTCAGCCTGCAGAGTAGCTGGGACTACAGGCGCACACTACCACACCCAGCTGATCCTAAAGGGCTTTGCAGTCATGAGAGAGAGAGGAGGAGGAGGGTGGGGGAGAGGGAAGGATGGAAACATAGTGAAGGGACCCCTGCTTCCCTTATATCCAGGGGTCAAGTGTGTTACAGTCATCCTTTCCAACCTCAGCCCTGGGGGACAGTGTGACCCTCTGCTTTTCCTACTGGCTTTTTACTGCACACCTTCTTCATGCCCTTCTCTGACATTGCCTAACTTAATTCTCACATGGGGTAGGTGCCTTATTATTCCCATGTTATAAATGTTGTCCTGGCATTCAGAGAAGTTAAGAGATTTGCCCAAGGCTGCTCAGGGGGAGGTGGCAGGCCTGCACTGGGCTCTGTCTAATGCTGCACTCCATGTGTCCATGGCCGTGCCCCGCTGCCCACCTGGGCTTTGGGAGAAGACAGTGCTCACACACTGTGCTTTTCACTCACTGGGCATGATGCGCCCTGGGCTGGGCAAAGGGCAAAGAGCAGGGACCTTGAGGAAGTTTGGAGAAAACGAGACGAAGGGGAGGACAAGAGGGCCTGGGGGGACACCAGGGGGGTCCTGGGTGGAGGTGGCCCTGGGTCATACAAAAGGCGGCAGCTGATGTCATGGAAAAGCCCCTCACCACCCCCCTTCCAGCTTGGCGGTCACACCCGGGTCCTGAAACTACAATAGCTGTCGGGGAAATCCACTTCCCAAGGCCAACTGTCAGGGCATTCCGGCACCTGGGCCTTTGTCTGTGTGGATCAGGGAAACGGAAAGAGTTCCCACAGCGGAGCCTGCCTAAGCTGTCTCCTGGGCAGAGACATACTGTGAGTCCGAGGGGCCGCAGGGCTGGAGGAGGCTGAGAGGGGGCTTGTTTAGCCCCTCCCACACCCTCCTCTGCCCCCTGCAGTACTCCTAAAAGTGGCTAATGTGCCTCTGTTAAAATGTTCAACTCGGATGCCACATTGGTCCTTATATTTAAAAAAAAAACAAAACAAAACACAAAACACAGATGAAGTCATCTCTAGAAACACATCCAGTCATCTCTAGAGGCCGGCAAAGGAGCCTCACGGACCTTCCCTTGCTGGTGGACATTGCCTCGTCTCTGTCCCATGGTGGGCATGAGCACCTGGCCCCCCTCACCCCACTCTCTGTCCCCCACCCCCGAACACAGTGAACTCAGACTGGCTTTCTCCAAAGAGGTCCAAGCATGAAGCAAACGTTCATTAGTCTCCTAACTAGTGGGCCATACTCCATGTCATTCCGTATTTAAGGAGAAACATTAAATAAGAGTGACATAATAGATCATTACAGGTGAGTCAAATTAAAAAAAAATAAAAGCACAGTGTTCTTGAGAAAGAAATTAGTTTTCATAGGCAGAGGCTTAAAGGCAAAACAAAACCCAACCAACGAATCCTAACGTAGCATTTTATTATAGCACCAGCATATAGAAAGGCAAACCCAGGGATGACTGAGTATCCTTGCAAGTCTCCCCTGAACTTGCAACTCATCAAGTGGGAGTAAATAAATTGTTGCATGATTTTCAGTCTGGGGTACAGCCCTGCAGGCCTGACCACGGAAGTGCCCCCCCATCCACGTACCTTGACTGTCTCTGGAGTGTGCCTCTGGAGCCTCGAGCTGCACAGTCCCCCAGCACACCCTCTTGGCAGCCAGGCCCGCCCAGCTATATAGGAGCTGCTGGGGGAGGTGGCATTCCTGCAGGTCTCCAAATATGGCAGCCCTTCCCTCCCGGGCAGGACCAATCAGGGCTTCCTGGGCCCCTCCTTCATCCTGAGAAGGATGGACCTTCTCATCACGCTTTACTAAGGAAACCATGTGAAGACCTTGATGAAGCTCAGCAAGACATTAGAGGTGCCTTTTAGAATTGGAATTAGGTGCGTTAGAAGGAAAACGCTTTTCCCATCAATATCTACGACAGATGTGGCTTCGACAAGCCTCGCTGGACATGCATAGTGTCCTGCACCTAAAGGCCAGCCTCGGACAGCAACGGAGTCTTTGCTGACAGCTTCTGTGGGGAGGTTCAGCTCAGAAAGAGGGCCAGCGTTCACCTGGACCACCACGTCCTGAGGGTGGGACCAACAGGGCGTGGGGGAGGGGTCACACTTTTATTGGGTAGTGGGAAAACAGGGCTGGTATGGGGTGGAAGACACCTGAGAGGACTTCCTGGCGTGTTGAGCTGGGGCTGCTTGAAGGACTGAATTAGCCCAAAGGCCAATGAGTTAAAGATCTGTGGGAAACCCGGGAGCAGAGACACATTGGCACGCAACCAGTCCCCTGCACAGCTGGTGCGGGCTGAGGGCGGGTTCTGCAGAGTGCCTTCTCCTCCACGTGGTGTCGGAGCGCTGCACCGACCGGGCTGGAGGTGCATTCCTGGGCTTTCCATAGCAAGAGACTCACCGATTTTGGGTGACCATTTTGGGCCTTATGCAGAAGGGACTTGCCCAGGTGTCCCTGTTACAATTAGTACTACAAAGCGAAGTCACAAGGGAATTATGGATGCAAGTATGGGGCAAGAATGCAATTTTTGTGCTGAATGTGACCCGGTCCAGAGTTCACAGTGGATTCGCGTCAGAGCACTTTTGCAAGCCAAATTAAACGGTTGCTCCTGTGCAGACCAGCAGATGGCGCCAGAGAGCTGACGAGGACTGCAGCCGGTGGGTGGGAAACCCGGGCTTCTAGGCTCTAGATGGATTTGGGGCCTCCAGTGGGGCCTTTCTTTCTCCTCTGCCTTTATTTTTAACATTTGTTTCATTCCCCTAACTTTTTTTTTTTTAAAAAGAACTTTTCTACTTCTTTCTAGAATCACAGACTTTTTGTGCTTCTGAATACACACAAAACACAAACACAGTAGTGTAATCTTAGTTCAGACTGTTTGCAAAATGGAATGAAAAAATAGAAACTCCTAATTTCAGTATCCAGAGACAAACGTCAGGAAAGTCTTGTTTGACATATAGATGCTTAGGGTAGGAGTGTTTAGAGCTGGAAAGGACTCAGAATTCTCTGGTCCATCTCCTTTGCACGGTGAGGTCACAGGCCCAGATAGGCCGGCTGTGCAGCCTTGGCGGGCCTGTTGCCCCATTCTGAACTCTGTGTGCTGTCTCCCTCCCTGTCCCCCACCAAACACAATAATCTCCAGCCCCCTCCATCCCTCTTCTTCCTGTCCCTTCCTGAGTAGGACTGTACCCAGAGAATGGTGGGAGGTTGGTTTAGAGCCGACACGGCTGCAGATTCCTCGTCAGTGAACAAAAGGCTGTTTACAAAGGCACAGAGGAGTGTGGAAGACTGAGGTTGCTAGAGAAGCGGGGAGGAGCTGTGGAAGCTGCAAACAAGGCAAGAAAACCATGAGCAGATGCAGAGAATGTTGCGCCGACTCAACCCTGCCTCGAATCCCTCTTCCCTGCCTGTAAAGATCAACAAACAGGGAAACGAATGTTGAAGAACATTCGTTTCTTCAAAAGAACTGAGAGACCAGGGCCACATGGATTATCTTATGTTATATAAAGTGGATTCTATTGTATCATCTGGGAAATAGAACTGTGTGTAGATCATCTCTGAGAAACCAGGGAGAATGAGACAGGAACCACAGACCTGAGTATTTCATGATACAGGGGTCTATGACATATTTCTCCAGAATGCATAAATAATAGAAAATTATGCCAATTTCTAAAAAAGCAACTGGGAATGGCTGAATTCTAGAATGCATGAATGGGTCATTTTTGATCAATTTCCAGCTTTGTTTAGACCTTGGACCAGTTTGAGAGCATTTATAAGTGAATACAGTGATCGTTTGGATACAACTTACTAGGCCAAATGAACTATACTAGGGAGGTTACTGTTTGGGAAGATTACCCACCATATTTGTGCCAAGAAAGGAAGAATGCAAGATGGGTAAGCCAGGTTCCATTGCTAAAGGAGCTCATGGCCTAGTGGTGGAGAAACAGCTGAGATATGATTTGGAAACTAATACTATTTAGCTCTGTAGCTAAACAGCTGCTATGATCTGAATGTTTGTGTCACCCCAACAACTCGTATGTTGAAATCTTCACTCCCAATGTAATGGTACTAGGAGGTGGATTTTTGGGAGGTGATTAGGTCCTAAGGGTGAAGACCTTATAATTGGGATTAGTGCCCTTATACTACACAGAGCTCCCTTGCCTTTTCTGCCATGTGGGGACACAGTGAAAGATGGCCATCTATGAACCACAAAGTGGGTCCTCACCAGACCCCAACCTGCTGGTGCCTTGATCTTGGACTTGCCAGCCCCCAGAACTGTGAGAAATAAATGTGTGGTGTTTATAAGCCACCCAGTTTATACTGAATGGACTAAGACAATAGACACGCTTAATTTTTTCTTTTTATTCAAGTCTGAGATTCACACAGAAGGTGCACATATTCACAATGTCCAGCATTACGTATTTTTACAAAGCAAACACCCTTGTCACCTGTACCTGTATTAGGAAGCTGAGTGTGACAGCACCCTCCAAGCTCCTCGCGGCCTCTTCACGCCACTATTCCCTCCTCTCTGCTGACCACTCTCCTGAGTCCTATGGCAGAGATTAGTTTTGCCTGGTTTTGCATTTCATATACATAGCATAATATAGATATAATCTTCTGTGTCTGTCATTTGAGGTTCACCACATTGTGTGTAGTCATAGATCATTCATTCCATTGTGAGAATATTCCACAACCTACGTATCCATTTCCCTTTTGAGGACATTTGGGCAGTGTCTGGTTTGGGGTCTTATGAATAGCATTGTCGGGAATAATCTTGCATGTTCTTCTTGGTGCCCACATTTCCATTGGATATATACTCTTAAGAGTAGATTTACTGGGTTGTAGAATATGCCTGTTTTTCAGTTTTCATGGTCTTAGAATTTGGACTATGGCTTTCTGAAAATCTTAAATGTCACCCTCCTTTATGATGGGCACACTCTTCTCCTCCCAAACCCAGCCAGGATCTCCACGTGGTTCCCTTGCCACTTGGCGCAGAGCCTATTACTGTAGTCATCGGAGAATCCCATTCACATGTTCTGCTGAGCTCACAGAAGTTGAAGGACTGTGTTTCATGCACATGTGTTTTCCTGGCACCTAGCGCAGTGCCTGGAATCTCGATGCATCTAGATTCCTTTTATCCCTTGTGGATCGGTGACCCATACTAGAGGGCAGGCTCAATGATCCAAATTGCAGTTGGTTGGAATATACAAAAGCAGCAAGAGGAAACTTCGCAGGGTTAAGGGAGACAGTTTTACAGTTGTTGCTGTTGTTTTTTTCAATCAAGGGCAGAATGGTGAAGACCTGTCACTGTAGCAGTGGAAATTCTGTGGCATAGAGTTGTTTAGAAGCAGAACATGAGCCCAGAGGGTGACCACAGCTTGGAGAAGCAAATGCCATGCTAATCCGAGGGCCATTTCCTCTGTGGTTCTCTGCCCTCCCCGGTCAGAGTGCAGCTAGTGTTTGGAACCTGGCTGTGAGGAATTGACCCAGGGCAGGGAGTGGGATGGAGTACGGGGAGGATGGGAGGGAGGTGAGGAAGAGCAGTGGTCCTTCTGGCTCAGCCGGGACCACTGAAGCAGTTCTTCCTCTCATGCAGGAATCACTCAGTGTATGTGGAGCAGATGCTTGTAGGTGAGAAGATGGAAGATAGGGAGCCAACGAAGGCTTAGGGCGGGTACAGGATGAGGGCTGTGTTTTAAGGTGGCCTGTCTCTCAGGTTGTCCAGAAAGGAGAGGCCCAGGAAAGGGTAGAAACTCCCACCTACAGATCCGAAGAAGGGCAGAGAATGCCAGACTCAGCCACCACTGAGTTCCTCATGTACGCTCCCCGTCATTTTGCTCCTTGTCCGTGATTTTTTGTTTGTTTTATTTTGTTTTGTTTTTGAGACAGAGTCTCACTCTGTTGCCCAGGCTGGAGTCAGTGGCACATCTTGGTTCACTGCAACCTCCGCCTCCCAGGTTCAAGTGATTCCCCTGCCTCAGTCTCCTGAGTAGCTGGGATTACAGGCGTGTACCGCCATGCCTGGCTAATTTTTGTATTTTTGGTAGAGACAGGTTTTCGCCACATTGGCCAGGCTGGTCTTGAACTTCTGACCTTGTGATCTGCCCACCTTAGCCTCTCAAATTGCTGGGATTACAGGGGTGAGCCACCACGTCCGGCCTGTGATGTTTTTAAAAGCATAATTAACCTGGTAAATTGGTCTGCAGTTTGTCATCTCTCTCTAAATACACAGGAAAATGTCAAATAGAGAGAGGCCTTCCCCAGGATGAGGCTACCTGTACCAGATAAGGCTCTAGTTCTTACCGTGTCAGAGTCAGAGTGGGGAAACCTGGTTTTCCCAGGGTGATGCTCATTCTCGGCGGAGGGGGCAGGGTGCTGCACAGAGAGTGGACGGACATAAGTCCACGGACATGAGTCAAAGACATGGGTTCTAATCCCCAGCATGCCACGTGGCTTTGTGGGGCTTTGGTCATCACCAGTTACAGGAGAGCTTTGGTCTTCACTCTCACGGAAGGTGACTCCTGCCTCAGACAATAAATGATATGTTTGCTGGGCACCTTTGGGGTGGCACAAGTTTGCACTACGGATCCGTTTTCTCATCTGTGCAGGGGGTATCATGTCCGCTGCTCCCATCATTGTTATGGCTGCTGCAGATGAGAGCTTGTCAATTGCTGCTTGGCACAGCTGAAACTGCAG